TCGACATTTTCAACGTTCACAACCATGGACTGTCCGCCCAGCAAGTTCGTGAAGTCGCTGCTGCGATACGTGCATCGCAACGTGCTGCCGCCCTTGACCCCGACATGTACACCACCTTCGTCCTCGGGGACTTCAATTTTGCCACGCACGAGGCTCTCGCGCTCGCTGCCCCCGCGGCGGCCGTGCGCAAGCTGTCGAAGTGCCACCATGTGCAGGCACCCAAGTGGCGCCAGGCCCTCGCCCTGCTGACTGAGATCGCGTGCGAGGACCCCACGCACTACGAGAAGTTCAACGACTCGTGCGCGACGATCGACCGCGTATTCTGTTCGATCACGGGCTGGCAGCTCTGCCAGCTGTTTGTCCAGATCGGCACGCTTGGCTCGCCTGCGGCCGTCTTTGGCAAAAAGATTTCCGACCATGCTGCTGTCGTTCTCTCGCTTGCCTGCCGTCCACCTCGTCCTGTGGAATCCCGCCCTATTCCCAAGCACCTGTTCTCTGAGCCTGGTTTCAAGCGTCGCCTGGAGGGGCTGTGCTCTTGCATCCCGTGGGACTCCATGTCGCCCCCGTTCAAGGTTGAAAAGTACAAGGAGCTTTTGAAGATTGCGGCCGCGGAGACCAGGGACGCCCTCTTTCGTGACAGACCACATCATCCCCGCACTTGCCTCCTGCTTGCTCGTGCCCTTGCCCGTGTGGTATGGAGGCAGGACGTGCGCATGGCTTCCAGGCTCCAGGACTCCCACCCCCTGGCCATAGACATGATATCGGTCACCAACGGGAAGGTCGAGATCCGCCATCCACCCTCTTTCCAGGCTTGGGTCGACCAGGTCCAGACGGAGGCTGCGGAGTCCGCGAAGGCTGAACTTGAAGACCGCAGACGGCGTGAAGGTGACCGCGCCCAAATTCGTGCCCAGGTCCGCGCACTTGAACGGCGTGCTCGTCTCTGGTCCCCGCTCAACCGAAGGATATCGCTATCGTCGGTTATCGCCCCTGATGGCTGTGCGGTCAGTGTCCCCTCTGATCGGCTGCGGGTTCTCTCGGAGCACTGGGCCCCCGTATTCCAGAGAAAGCCGTGGGACTCCGATGCCGCTGTTCCTTACCTACACCGCCTCGCTCCTGACCTTCCTGCCGACCTTCACCTCCCTCCGCCTTCGAAAAACATGCTACGGCGTGCGATTCGGTCCGCCCAACACTCTGCCCCTGGCCCTGATGCTCTTCCGTATGCGGCATGGGCGGCGTCCTCGTGGGGGGCTGACATACTGTGGGATGCTCTTGGTTGGGTTCTCAAGGGCCAGGAGTTGTTTGCGAACACTAGTGACACGATCCAGATTTTTCTGCCCAAAAACGTTACGGACTTGGAGCTGCGCGACGCCAGCTGCTCACGCTCTCCTGACAAGGTTCGGGTCCTGGGCCTCAGGAACTGTGACTTGAAGCTCATCTCGTCCACTGTCAATCGGGCGATTCGCCCCGCCCTGATCTCCCTTGCCCCGCCGTGCCAGCGGGGTTTCATACCGGGTAGGAATTTCGGCAACAACATCCTCGAGCTCGACGTGTCGTCTCGCCAGATGTCGATCGTGCCCCACGGGTCCTCCGATATCCCTGTGCTGTATTCCCTGGACTTCGGCCAAGCCTTCCCGTCTCTGAATCAGGACTTCCTCATTCTCTCCCTCAGGGCTCTCAAGCTGCCTGACGCTTTCGTGTCCTTCGTCGCGTTCCTTTATGCTTCGGTGGAGGGGGTGGTCTCGCACTTAGGCTCGCTTGTGCACATCTTCTGGACCCAGAGCGGCATCATCCAGGGCTGTGCCCTGTCGGGCACTCTCTATGCATTAAGTACGGCCGTCTTCCTGGTCGACCTGGCGTCTCGGGTGGAGGCCGCTGGCCTTGGCCTGGTTCGGGCCTGTGCTGATGACATTGGGGGTACGCTATTGTCCATTCGGCACCTTGTTCAGGTTTATCAGGTCATGAAGCTGGCCTCGGACATGGCCAACCTCGCTCTGAAGGTCTCGAAATGCAAGATTGTCCCGCTCTCTGACAGGTTCTCGCCCAGCCTCTCTACAGCAGTCTCCCAGTGGGTTTCCCGCGTGGTCCCCGAATGGAGCTCGTTCGAGGTGGCCCCCAAGCTGCTCTACTTGGGCCTCTGGATGGGACCTGCTGTTGTTCCGTCCACGTCGTGGATTGACCCCGTCGCCAAATTGCGTCTCAGGGCCCAAGCCATTGGGCGGGGAACCACTCCCGCCAGCCTTTCCGCTACACTGTACAATACGCGGGCCGTCACGACAATATCGTACGTTGCCCAATTCTGCTGGCCACCAGCGTCTGTGTTGCAGCCCGAGTTGTCGACGCTCGCGCAGGTGTTCCGCATTCCGCTCGGCACCTTCGCCCTCGACCACTGGACGCAGCTCGCACTGTGGGGCGGCCCTCGGTGCACGCGGTGGGGGCACCTGGCCGCTGCCACCATCTCGCGGGCTGCGCTGCACACGTTCCCTGCCTGGGAGGCGCTTCTCCAGCAGCTGCGGGACCACGCGAGCTCTGCCCCGTACGATGCCACCCTATCCATGCTTGCGTCAGGTAAGCCGTACCCGTCCTTCTGGCTGGCCCCCGCCTTCGTGGAGAATCTGGAGCTGGCGGCCGCGGGCACCCCTCCTCCTGGCCCTCTGGCTGTCTTTGGGGCTCGAGCTGCCGACGCTGCGCTGGCAGAACTGCGTGAGGGTGGCCGTCCTCGCCCTCGTCCTCAGCGTGCGGCGCATGTCGCTCTGCGGGACCTGGCGTGCCTGAACAAGCCGATCACCGACCTCTTCGTGCTGCGCCTGAGGAAGTTTGCAGGCAGGTCTGCGGGCCTCCTTGCGCACATCGACTGGGGCGTGTTCAAGAGCGTCCTCGCCCGCTGCCCGTGTTCATGGGCCATGGCTGTCTTGCGCACCTGGACGGATGGGTGGATGACCTCGGCCCGTATCATCTCGCCTGAGGGGCAGAAGCCGTGCGTTTTTGGGTGTCTTGGCAAGCTCGACTCGCTACGTCACTACGCGAGATGCCCAGTCATGCACCGCGCCCTGCGGCAGGCCCTCGCGAGACCGTTCCCGCTCCCGTGGATGACCAGATGGGGTCTTTCTGATCCCTCGCTTGCCACCTTCTCGGCCATGGCGGCCGCCTACAACATGTACAACGAAGCGAGGTTGGCGCCCGTGTGGCCCCTATCCCCGTCCCTCCTCCGCAGTTGCGCTCTCGCGGGTGCACGCTCGATGCAGCTTGCGTCACCGATGAAGTGCACGGAGATCGACCGCGACCAGCTCGGCCGACGGGACTATCTCATCCGCAGCTCTTCGTCCTCCTCTTCTACGGGATCGTCTCCGAGACTCACCCCTGCCGTCTCGTCGTCGGACACCGACACATCCACAGTTTCCACGGCCATCGCCACGATCCCGTCGGACTCCGACGCCGATGATGACTTTCAGTGTCCTGCGACGCCGCTGGCTACGTGCACCCCATCGGCCTCGCCGACATCCTCCCCGCCTCCCTCCGCGCCCCCGTCGTCGACGCGATCCACTTCAGCTCCGAGGGCGCCCCCCTCATCGCCAACGGCGTTGCGAGCTTCATGGATGGCGGCTGCCTCTGCGTCAGTGTCGCCGACAGCCACAATTTCGCCCTGTGCACCGGTGTCGCCGTCCCCGCCAATGACGCTCTCGACTACGGGCTCGCTTCCCTCGTCGCCCCCCATCGGCGTTAGATCGCAAGTCCCGATGTCGTGTTCGGGCTCACCGTCGCCTGGTGCTGGATGCCTCGTGTCGCCCATCTTGGGCCCTGGCGTTAGATCGCAAGTCCCGTTGTCGTGTTCGGGCTGCACGTCGCCACGTCCCCACTGCCTCGGTGAGGAGCATCTCTCCTCTGGCGTTAGAGCGCAAGTCCCGTTGTCGTGTTCGGGCTCGCCGTCGCCACGCGCTCATTGCCGTGATTCGGGACTCTGGTCCGTTGGCGTTAGATCGCAAATCCCGTTGTCGTGTTCGGGCTCACAGTCGCCACGTGCCGGACGAAATCCTGCGAACCTGGTGGCAGCTCGGCAGACGGCGCGCACCCCTCCTCCGATTGCCACGCGTTCTTCAATGAGGCCCTCTCCATCAGTGGCGCCGACTTCTTCATTGGCGCCGCCCTCGGCACCCTCTGAGCACCGTGCGGAAAATGAGCGGCCTGCCATGTCTCTCACACCGTCCCCGCTCGTCGCCCCCCCGATCGCCTCCCTGGCCGCGCCCTCCCCTTCGCTCTTGCGCAGCCCCGTGCCCTGCGGTCACCCCTCCACCTGTCCTTCGCTCCCGAACTCTGCTCCTGCTGCTGCGTGCGTCTCCCCTGCTTCCCGCTTGCCTCCGAATATAAATACGGCTGCGCCCGACGTCGAGTTCGACGTGCTGCGCATTTCTGGCGCGCCCTGCGCGCCCCCGCCCCTGCCGCCCGCGGCAAATTCTTCGGCATCGTGGGCGTAGGCGGGAGACTCCTTCCCTCGGTACGCTGGGCTCCTCCTCCTCCTCCTCCTCCTCCTTTCACGTTGACCAAACCTGAATGCTATGACTGTGGCGTTCTTGAGTGAAACCGAAAGACGACTCGGGTCAAAAACGCCTGGTGGGCGCCGCAGAAAATGTAAGAGAAAAGGCGGTGGCGAAGACGATTTGCGAGAGTAGGCGCCCGCCATGTGTGACGACACTCGCCTTAGTGTGATAACACAACAGCAACAAGGGTAAAACAACAACAGTAACAACGACACGTATGATCACAACCTTAGATCTTTTGTAAGTCTCAGCGTATGTTTCAAGGCAAGTGCAACGATCGCCCTGCGCACGAACAAAAGAAGGCACTCTGAGCAGTTCTAGGGTTGCTGCCCAGGGTTTAAGGCAGGCGTACCCCAAACCGTAGTGCTCGTCCCCACCGGCCCCCGATGATACACGTCCTATCCCGTTCCTTTCCTGGCAGTTCTTCGGATGCTGCCCGTGTTTTGCAACACGGGTGCTGGACTGGCCATCGTCAACGTGGCGTGCAGTGCTAGGGCAGCGGCCGAGGTTTTTTTTTGTAGGCGAGCCCTACACCTGTTACTGAGAGTGGGGGGCCACCAGCGTGTCGGTCAGCGCCCACGGCGAGGGAAGGGTGCAAGTCGCATCAAGGAAACAGCAGGAGAGGAGAGAATGCGAAGACAGTGTGAGGCCAAAGGTAGCAGTTGCTGGTGTGCGAAGTCCATCGTGGGCAGGTTGCTCACGCGCAGGATGTGGCACAGAAAGAAGTCGGCTTGCTGCACTACGGCCTCCGAATGGTGAGGGCCTTTCCTGTAGAAGACCAGCCGTTTTCCTAGCAGTTCTTGGGATGCTGCCCGTGTTTTGAGCTAAGTGCGCGTCTGGTCATCGTAAAAGGAGGTGCTAGCAGTACTAAGGCTGCGACCCAGGGCTTTGTAGGCGTACCCCAAACCTATGGTGAAGGAACAGGTAGCAGTGCTTGGGCTGCCACCCAGGGTTTTTTAGGCGTGCCCCAAACTTGGGAATGTGAGATGTGTGGGTAATGCTGCTGCTGTAAGGAACGACCCACTGTTCTAGCAGTTCTTGGGGTACTGCCCGTGTTGTCTAAACTACGTGCGCGATTGGCCGTCGTAAACAACGATGACTTGCAATGCTGGGGCTGCGACCCAGGGTTTTGTAGGCGTATCCCAGACCTGCTACTGAGGTCGGAGCCACCAGCGTGTCGGACAGCGCGTCGGAGAAAAGAAGGGTATACAGCGCGTCGGAGAAAAGAAGGGTGTAGCCGCATCAGTGGAGGAGGTCGAGAATCGAACATCTTGATGTGAGGCCACGGGTAGCAGCTGCTGGTGCGCATGGCACAAAAAAAGCGACTGGCCATAGTAAACATGTGAATTGCAATACTAGGGCTGCGACCCAGGGTTTTCTCGGCGTTCTCCAAACCGATTGCTGAAGTGAGGCGCCACCAGCGTGTCGGATAGCGCGACGGAGAAAAGAAGGGTGTAAGTCGTATCAGTGGTGGGGATGTGAGGCCAAGAGTAGTAGTTGCTGGTGCGCAAATTCCGTACTCGTGGGCAAACTGCTCGCTCTTAGGGTGTGGCACGTAAGAAGTCGACCTGTGCCAGGGCGGAAGGGTCATGTCTGCAGAGCGGGGTCCGACCCCAGTGGGGACCCAAGTGCGCACTGCGTGCGATTGTAAAAGGAGGGTAGCCTGTATCAGGACCCCCAAATGTGACTAGCAATGCTGGGGCTGCGACCCAGGGTGTTTTAAGGCGTACCCCAAACATGCATTAAGATGTTAGGGCAACCAGCGTGTCGGATCCGCGGCAGCGGAAAGACGGGGTGCAACGCGCACCAGAGACGAGAGTACGAGGAAGAGCTGGTGATGCACTGCCAAAATGATGGGCTGCTCGTGCGCAAGGTCCGCGCTCGTGGGCAGACTGCTCTCGCGTGGGCTGTGGCACAGAAAGAGGTCGGCCTGATGCACGGCAAGTGGGCACGGTGTGTGGTTGTAAAAGGAGGGTAGCCTGTACCCGGGTCCCTCAAAGTGACCAGCAATACCAGGGCTGCGGCCCAGGGCTTTGTAGGAGTACCCCAAACCTGCACTAGGGAGTGAGGCGCCACCAGCGTGTCGGCACCGCGACGGGGAAGGGGGTGTAGTGCGCATCAGTGGGAGAAGGATGTCACGTGAGGAGGCGCTTATGTGTCCGTGATTTCGCATTGTGCATCGGCGAAACTCACTTGTTCTCCTTCTGCGGTAATAGAAGAGATAGGGGTAGTGGAGGTGAATATCGCGGTGGCCTGCTACCGTGCCTGATTGTTCCGTAGCTTGATCTGTGTCAGTACGACTCGTCGGCTTGCGTTTGGGTGGGATCTTGTATAGTCGTACGCTCTGTCTGGGAGGGGGCTCTTTGAAAGGTGCACAGTGTGGATGGTCGCGGGGGCTGTGGATGTGGATCTCGTCTCGCGACTGGTGCGAGCGGAGCCTGTCGATGTAGTTCTGGCATGTCGGGTCGCCTATGTTGTTGACGAAGACGATGCGTCGGTTGACGATGAGAATGTGCTGGCCTCCTTGTCTTGCTGCTGCGCTGTATGTGGCGGTTGCTTGTGGTGCAAGGTTAGGAAAGTAGGTGTGTAAGGTGGCGTGGCGAACGTTTGTGGGCCATTTTTCTGATGGGTAGCTCCTGCATCGACTGCTGCGGCCTGGTATGTTCGTCTGGTGGGCAGCTGATAGGTATTTGTAGTACAGGTGGTGGTGGATGAGTTGGCATGGTGAGCTCGAAATTGGACCACTTGTTGATGGCTTTGACTTGTGGTGCTCGTGTTGCTGCCGTTGTCGGTGTGGCGCTGTCGCTGGGTGTGGTCTTCGGCTTTTTTTACGTTGGTTGGTTTGGCCCCTGCCGTGGGGTGGGCAGGTGGTGGTCTGGCTGGACGCGCGCTGTGGGTCGTAGTCAACGTGGTAGGTGGGTTGGTGTTGCTTAGTAGCTGTATGGGCATCGGTTGGTTGGGAATGTTGCCGTGGTGCATGTGTGAGTGGGTGTGCAGTGCGTTGTGTGCTAGAGCAGGTAGTGGAGTGCTCTTGTCGGGTGTAATGCTGGTAGAAGTAGGTGGAAGCTCCGGCGTTGGCGATGTCGGCGCAGCAATTTGCTGGTGTGCTGTCGCGATGGGCTGGTTGTCGTTATGATGGGACGGTGTGCTTACGTTTTGTGTGGTCGGCAAGTTGGGCAGCGGAGGTGGCTCCTTGACTGGGAGTTGGTTGGTTGTGGCTGATGCGGTGGGCGCGTCGTTAGTGCCTGTGTGTAGGTCTTGCGTCTGCGTGTCGTGTGTTTGCCATTGTGTTGGCAGTGTGGGTGCGCGTTTCTCGGGTATTGCGGTTTGTGTGTGAGGTGGTGGTTTTACTTGTTTGATGGCGTCGGCATGGTCGTTCGCTTCACTGGAGCTGTCGCTGTCGGTCTGTGTTGGTGTGGTGTTGTGGTTGGTCGAGGTCTGGTTGCAGATCTGTTGCGTTAGTGTAGCCGTGCCTCGTATCTTGTGCCCAGTCGTACTTCATGGGTTTGTTGGCGTTGTGGCAAGCGTTGGGCCATCGAGCAACTTCTTGCACTGCAGCGATCCTGTTGGAATTGAGGGGAGACTGATTTCCAGTGAGTAGTGATTGGGAATGCTGGTTGGTCGTTCCTACTTAGGGCCGTAGGGCTGCGTTGTTTCGGTAGTGTGCCGCGAATGCCTGGAGGTCGGTGCCGTAGCGTGTGAATGTGGGGAGGTTGGGCGGCCTAGGCATTGGTAGATGCATGTCTGCGCGGGTGGCGTTTTTGAGCCTGAATGTTTTGGTTGGGGTCGTTGGTGGTAGGGTGGATGCAATGCCGACAACGGTGTAGTTCTGGAGTTTGGTCGGAGCGGCGGGCGCGGTAGAAATGGATGTCCGTTTTGGTGCACGAACATCTCGTTGCTGTACTTGTTGAGGTACCTGTGCCATCCAGGAAAGAGGAGGCCGTCGTTATGGGAACCTGTACGTGTACGTGTTGTATTGCCCGTGGTAGTAGACGGCGTAGTGCGTAGTGCCGTCTGTCGTCCTCGTAGCCGTCGGCGCCCGTGTCGTTGGCGCAGTAGCAATACGCTGTCCAACCACTAGGACACTGCATGTCGTGGTATTGGTTTGGTTTGAGGGACGTAAGGTAAAATTCGTGTGTCTGATGCTCCGTTCATCTTTGCCCATGGGTCGTTTTCGTCGGTGCTTTCGTCGGAGTCTGTGGTGTCGTAGATGGGCACAGGTACGTCTCTCCATGGGTTGGGTCTGTTGTTGGCTGTTGTTTGTGCCGGTGGTGTTGGTGTCTCGGCAGGTGGTGGTGGTGTGTATTCGTGGCTGGTGTCGGTTCTTCCCTTGTCGCGTTTGTTCTTTTCGTTCTTGAGGGTAAAGTTGTGAATGGCTTGCTCTGGTGGCAGTATTTTCGTGCTTCCATTGCATGTGTGTCGCTCCTTTTCCATGTGGTCGTAGTAACGTTTCTCGATGTCGTATCTCTCGGCAAGCTGCTGTTGTGCGAAGCCTTAGTGCGTGTCTTCTGGAGGAAGGTCGGTCGAGAATTTGAAGCCTCCTTTTGTAGTGATGACCTTGGGCCATGTGCAGGTGAATTGTGGTCCATGTGGGCGAGGTAGGACCATAGAGGTCTGCGGTTGAATGTCTGTTGGGTTGCTGTCGGCGCGCATTGCGCGGTTGCTGGGGTGTAAGACCGTGATGGGCGTGGGTGCGGGGTGGTCTATTTCTCTTGGCCATGTTGGGTTGCCCATTGTCGGTGCCAGGAGCTGGTAGTGTGTAGGTGGGATTGGTCCTTGGCAGTTGTCTGGTTTGACACGTGCTGTACCTGACCATTGGTTGAGTAGGTCGCACTCGTATTGGGAGGACTCTTCGAGCTCGATGTAGTCTGGTTGCTGGTGGCTGACTGGTGGCGTGATTTCTGTTCTTGTCGATGATGCATGTGGCCCATGGTGGGTGGAGGGTTGATGCGCCTGAAATATGTCGTGAGTCTGCTAGGTAGTTGATAAGCGAGGGTAACCCCGATACCATGGTAACATTGTGGTTAAAGCCGGTCACGGTGCTGAAAAAGGTGTGCTGCTCGTAGTCGGGATCTGCGCAGTTGATCTTCGTATCGATTGCGTAGTGTTCTTCCATCTGGAATTCGCACCTTTTTTTACGCTTTGTTGGCGGTAGATAGCGTACTAGGTCTCTTTGAAGCTCTTCTGCGTGTTGTCCTCACTGTAGTCGGCGTGTGTGAGTCGTACTCTGCTGTGGTCCGTGTCGTCGTTGATCTCTGGCCGCGTCATATGGGTGAGTGGAACTCTTCTTGGGTGTCGTGGTGGCTCTTCCTCGTCGATGAAGGGATTGTCGTCTGGTCTGTAGTCGGCTTTCCTGTAGAATGGGATCTGTGCAGGCCGCTGTGACCAGTGTGCCTCGACGTTTGTGTGGGAACCGTAGTATTTCCAGCCGTTGAGGGCAGTTTGTAACTTTTCTTGTAGTAGGAATGGCTACTCCCTGTTGATGTCGGGCAGGTGGGCTTTTGTGATGTGCATCTTCCTCTTTGCCTTGGCCCAGCCCTTCTTGGTGGGCACTGGTATGTACTCGTTGCTAAAGTGCAGGGATATGTAGATGTAGTACTTGTCGATGCTGTGCGCGTAGTTCACGTAGTGTTTGTGCGTTGCCGGGGTCGAAGCTCGTGGGCGTGGCCGTGCGGAGTAGGTCTTCTCTTTGTGAGCTACTGCGCATCTTGATTAACGGTGGTAGGACGTCGGTGCATTCGTCAATGTATTGCTCGTTGCTTTGTCTGTATTGTGATTCGATCATGAGCTCCCTCTCCTTCGTAATCACGTCGTCTGACTTGAGCGAGTCTGTCATATGTATGCCTCTGGAAGGGAGGTGACCAAATCACGTGGATGTAGCCCATTGGTTCACATGCACTGCAAATCTTCATTGCTTGCAGGACTGTATGGGGCCGTTGGTAACATGGCGCCGAGAGGTGACCAAATCACGTGGATGTAGCCCATTGGTTCACATGCACTGCAAATCTTCATTGCTTGCAGGACTGTATGGGGCCGTTGGTAACATGGCGCCGAGTATGCAAGTGAAAGCAAGCATTTCGGCAACTGAAGTTTTCCCTCACCCCCCCCTCCTCCTCTTCCTCCTCCTTCTCCTCCTCCTCCTCTTCCTCGTCCGCCTCCTCCTCCTCCTCCTCCTCCTCCTCCCACTCCCCCTCCCCCCCTCCATCTCCTCCTCCTCCTCCTTCTCCTCCTCCTCCTCGTCCTCCTCCTTCTCCTCCTCCTCGTCCTGCTCCTCCTCTCCCCCTACTCCCCCCCCTCCTCCTCCTCCTCCTCCTCCTCCTCCTCCTCCTCCTCCTCCTCCTCCGCCTTCTGCTCCTCCTCCTCTCTGGGACCACTCTGGTATCAGTCCCAGGGATCCAGCGTAATGAAACAATCAAGACGGAGGTTTTCCGCCGTTTTCGGCCTCCAGGGGCCCTCGCCGGGCCCCGGGACCGTCAAACAACGATTCATGATGGAACACCGGTCCTGGGGAGTGGGTCGAGCCTGACTAGGGACCCCGTATTCAAAGAAAACGACGTCGGATCTCTAGGGTCTCCTGTGAATTCCAATCCGGCGCCAGCCTGACGCAGACAGGAGTGTGTGTGTGTGTGTGCGTGCGTGTGTGTGTGTGTGTTTTCGCCAGATTGGATGAGATGGACTTCCTCGCCGGACTGCCAGACTGTACGTCCGCTAGAGTGGCGTCAGATTGGCTTCGACTGGCCAGCAACGGGGGGTCACCGCCTGGGGGGGGGGCTCCCCTGACGCCAGATCCGCCGTACCATTTGGGCGATCTCGTCCGTATCCGGGCCTGCCAGATGGGGTGCGAGCAGATGGGGTCGGAGGATCGCGCTGCATCGCCGATGCATCGCCGATGCGGCTCGATGTGGAGCCCGGTTCTCTCCACGCCGTCGGCGCCGGTACGTCGTCGACGTCACCGTGCATCGCCGGTGCATCGTCGATGCATCGGCCATGCGGCGAGACCTTCTGACCCCGTTTCTCTGGACCCCATCTGGGAGGCCTCTAGCCAAGGGGGGGTCACTACCTGGGGGGGTGTCCCCTGATGTCGGGTCCGCCGTACTTCTTTGGCGATTGCGTAGGCCTTATGGCCCGCGCCGCCGACCCTGAAATAGTGCGACGACGACGACGAAGACGACGACGACGCCGACGATGACCACGACTACGACCACGACGACGACCACGATGACGACGACGACGACGACGACGACGACGACGACGATGACGACGACGACGACGACGACGACGACGACCACGACCACGACCACGGCCACGACCACGACAACGACGACGACGACGACGACGACGACGACGACGACGACGACCACAACCACGACCACGACCACGAAGAACGTTTTAAACAATTGAGGGAAGCCATTGGTTGTCCCCTCTTTTGGTTGTCTTCTTGGGCGACTTCGTCTGGAGTCGGCACCACCCGAAGCATACTTTTACTAAGTACGCATCGGCTACGCAAGAGCGACGCACGCTCGGACATCTTGCAGCATAGCAGGGGGCTTCCTGGTCATACCGTTCGGGAAACGATGCACTAAAAGATTGTGTATTATATGTTCGGGTCGGACTCGCGTCCCCAACAGAGGAACATCGCATTAGTATGTCTGTATGCGTCCCATATAGGGCGGAAGCGTCCGCCCTACTTTTGCCGTCGATGTTTGCCCAGCTTTGAAGTCGATGTTCGCCCTGCTTTGCCGTCGCTGTTTCCACTACACTTTTGCGGAAAATATCCGCCCAGCGTTTCTGAGGCGGAAACTTCAGTGATCTTGGTTCGCATCGTATGGGGTGCATGTCCGACATGATTTGAAGTCTGACGATCGGCCAACGAAGTACGGCGGGTCCGGAATCGGGACATCCTCTTTGATGGAACTTGGATTTAGGAGAAGGGAGGACATAGACATGCTCGCGTCCCCATAACATAGCGACGAGAGGTTTTTAAAAGTTTTCGACTTCCAGGGGCCTTCGCCGGACCCTGGGGCCGTCCAGAGCGACCTGCCCCGGGGAAAGGGTCGGGACTTCTGGGGACCACGTCTGCACAAGACCAGGACATCGCATCTCTGGGGATCAAGGGCCAAGGAAGTTTTGAACGACGTCCTCAGGCATCCTTGGGGGTCCTGGGGCGTCCAGGGAGGGCTCGTTTCCTCGAGGAGTTGGCGCCCCCCCGGTGGCGACCCCCCCTCGGCATTGCCCCAGAGGAGGGCCGCAGCGGCAGCGACGAGGATGAGCTCGCCGCCAGCGTCGTGGCATGGGGCTGCTGGTCACCAGGAGAGGGAATACAGCAGACACATGCGACAAGAAACCTTGCTATTGGAAATCTTGGGGCGCATTCTTTTTCGATGATGAGGGAGCCTCTGTGGGTCCCTGGAGCCATCGCGGGGTACGAAATTCCAGTGGGGCACCTGCTTCTGATTTTATGTGCTTTCTGTATTAATGATTACCGCGACTCTTCTGGTGGATCCCTCGTCGCCACGGCCGGATCTTCGTCGAAATCACAGTCAAAACGAACCTGGGGAGAGGTCCGGGGAGCTGCGCGGTATCGATTCACTATTGTTCCCCCAGGTCCGTCTTGGCGCCCTTGTTGGTCAGCGTCCGTTTCTCCCCTCGTCTCCTCCTCCTCCTCCTCGCACCGGCACGCTTTTGGCGTGCTTGTTTGCTTTCTGGCTCGTTTGAGTGGTGCTCTGTCTTGCCTATGAGCCGTTTGGCCGCCTGGCTGCGTGCGTGCGATGTCCGTCTTCGGTATGGTCGGCATGGGCACGGAGAGAGTGGGGACGAACACATACAGCAGTTCATGCTCATTTTGAGCAGGACCCACTGCCAGAGTCGCTTCCTGCGTTGTCCGCCTAAGACGAAGAGTCGATTGCCAGACAACGGCCGCTGTCTGTTTGTTTTGGACAACACCTTAGGATGCAAATCCTGGGAGGTTACATTCAGCATCGGCGCTGGTATATCCGTGGTCGAATTCGGGCCGACTGCAGCGCTTTCCCGCTCAATTCCGTCTAATCCCGCTTAATCTGGTTTAATCGGGCTTCGTCTTGGGTTCAATCTGGGCTAATCTTGCCCAGTGGCCTCTTTATCGGGCTGATAAGCTTCTAACTGTTCTTAAGAAGGCCCCCCGGGGGTTGCCTCCTAAAACGCGTGCTGCTGGGCATCGAGCAACTTTTTCCGTACCCATCTCGGGCATGTCAAGGTCTGGTTCGGTGGGTTTCCTGCTGGCGATGGCCGTGGTCTCCAGCGCCGCCATCCTGGCGCTGCGGACGGGCCACCTCAGGCTGCAGCTTTGGGGCCAGGGCGCCATGGTGCCGGCGGAGCCCCGGGCGGTTTTGAGCGAGTCCCTCAGGCTCGGGGGTGACAACCGCCATGCCCCGACGCCAGCCTTCCTCCTCCTCCTGAGGCCGTGGAGAGGGTGGTCCTTCCGCGCACGGCCCCTTCGCCACGACATCCCTGCTCCCGTTGGGGTCTTGGGCTTTGAGGCTCCTTTTGGTGCTGGGACCTCGGGCGCTCGACGTGGCCGCTGGGCCGTTGGCCGCTGGGCCGTTCTGCGTCTGGGGCGCGGCCGAGGTGAAGGGCCTCAGCAGCAGGCTCGTCAGATCCCTCGGAGTCCTCCTCCTCCTCCTCCTCCTCTTCCTCCTCCTCCTCCTCCTCCTCCTCCTCCTCCTCCTCCTCCTCCTCCTCCTCCTCCCCCTCTTCCCCTTCCTCCTTGGGAGCAGGCTCGTTTCACCAGTTCTCCAAGAGCCCCCCTCCTCCTCCTCCTCCTCCTCCTCCTCCCCTCCTCCTCCTCCTCCTCCTAAACCTAGCGCTGTAGGCAGCGGATTCGTTGTAACAGCACTGCCTTGCCCCCCCCCCCCGCCCTCGGCGGCCTTCGCCGCCTGGGGGTGGGTGGGGGTGGGGGGCGGAACACGGTCCTCGTGTGGTGGCCGAGCAGAGAGGGGAAGGAGGGGGGAGCGAAGCGATGCCTGCAGGAGCAAGGAGGTTTGGGGAGGTAGGCGCCTCCTCCTTCTCCTCGCTTGCCAGCCCGAAGCATGTCCCAAGGCCTATGTTTGGCATCACCTTACCTCGGTGCCGATCTTGAGGGTTTCCTCAGTTTCTGAGGGCACATCCCTAGGGTTGTCATCGCCTTGGGCTTGTCGGTCTTAGGGATAGAGATACGTTCGAGGCTGGCTACTCATTCCTCGTCCTTGCTCCTCGTTCCTCGACGCAAAGTTGCTCCACACTGCGTCCCCACGGCTCGCTCGATCGACTAATCACTCCTCGTCCTCTCGGGCCTCGCGCCGCTGTCTTGTCGCAGCGTGGGCATCCAGAGGCAAGGGGCCACCGCGAGGACGCGAAGTTGTTTTCGTGTTTCGCGATTCCTTACAGTCGAGTCGCATAGCAAGGGTGAGCAACTTCCAAGGCTACCCTCGGCCCATCGGCCCCTTCGGCCTCCTCCTCCCCCCTCATCCCCCTCCTCCTCTTCCTCCTCCTCCTCCTCCTCCTCCTCCTCCTTCTCGCCGTCCTCCTCCTCCTCCTCCTCGTCCCCTTCCTCCACCTCCCCTTCCTCCCCCTCCTCCTCCTCCTCCTCCTCCTCCTCCTCCTCCTCTTCCTCCTCCTCCTCCTCCTCCTCCTCCTCCTCCTCCTCCTCCTTCTTCCCCCCTCATCATCCTTGCCCCTTCGGCCCATCCTTGTCGAGTTTCGCTGGCGAGCCCCGCTCGAAAACGCCAACATGGCTCTTCAAGGTCTTTGCATCCTCACCGCGCATCCTTATTGTGCGACTTGACTGTAACATCCTTCTCGTCTCCCCTGGAGGTGTTCGCGCTTGTCGAAGCGCGAAGCGCTGCTTGGCTGCCTTTGTGGAGGTCTCAATGCCTTTCCCCCGACTGGCTTCTCGTCCTCAGTCGATCTTGAAGGGCCAGGGTCTTCGCGAGGGCACCCAGGGGCTGAAACTTGTCAAGTTCGCTAGTCAGTGGAGGATGCTTCGACCTCCAATCGCCGATGCATCACCTATAGGAGCCCGATAGCCCCACCCCGCCCAGGAACGGTCAGATTTGCTATCGGGGGCCTATCGCCGATCCGTCGACGATGTGTCGCCGATTCCATGTCGATGTTTTCCGCCCTACATCGGGAGGAACACACCGAATTATGTAGGGAGGCAACGATAGGGCAACGACGGGGGTGGAGGCAACGATAGGACAGACTGAGGGGCAGCGATAGGGGAGACTGGCATGATGCCAGCCCCCCCCCCTTTCGTTGCCCCTCAGTCCGTCCGTCTTGGCTCCTGCTGCGCGAGGGAGCCCGGGCCCTCCTCTCGCGCCCCTCGTCCTGGCCAGGGCCACGCGCGGGCGTGGCCGGCCGCGGTGCCCGCGCGGGCCTCCGAGTAGGGCCTCCCGGGGGGGCCGCCCGGACGCCCGGGTGGCTCGAGCGGGGCATCGGCCGCAGAAGCGGTCCGCCCCCGACTCGCTGGGCCCCCCCGCCTGCCGGGGGGGCCATATGGCGGGAGAGCCACGCCCCGCCCCCAGGCCAGAGTGCGCGGCCACCCGCCTCCCGTCCCAGGACCTGGAGGGCGGGCGCGGCGGGCAGCGCATCCCGCAGGTCCTGCGCTCCGACAGCTGCTGCAAGCTCTGCCAGGCTGCCTCCGACTGCGAGGCCCAGGGAAGCACAAGCCTCCGAGGAGGGCGAGTTGAGGCCACGCCAGTTGGCCTTGGGTGGGCCCCGTCGTCGCCCAGGCTGGGCGCAGCTCGGAACAGTGGTGCGCTGGGACCCCAGGAAGGGGCCCGGGGACTGATCGTGAGCTGCTGTCGTCTCAACCCGTCCTGCTCCGGTGAGCCCTGAGATCCCGGCGTCGCATTTTTGTTTGGCACGGGACGGTTTCGCAATGTTTCGGGACCTCGGTGACCTCACGAATCGATGCGACTGGAGAAAGATGCCGCTGGGGTCTAGGGCTCCCGGTGTGATTGTTGACGATGCTTGCTTTTTTCGCGACGTCGGATCTCAGGGAATAGCATAACTACACACAGAAAGTTTCTGAGGTCCGCGCGGGCTTTTTGGACCAGCGCTGGGCCCCCCCCTGCTTGGCGCGCCAGGGGCGGCGCCAGAGGCGCCGCCTGGGGGGTGTCCAGGGCCGATCCAAGAGATCCGCGCGGACCTCCGAAATTTTAGGTTTTTTTGCAGATTTGCTGCTCTTCGCGAGGCGTGGGCCTGGTCCGGGCAGGGCGCTCCGGGGAGAGGAACCGCACCTTTGCCGCCGCCTGGCGCGCGGAGGAGGGGGAGATGCCGACGGCGCTGCCCTCGCCGCCACGGCTGGATTCGCTGCGAGATTGTGGTCCGACGGCGCCCTGAAAGCGGCGGAGCCGGCTGGGAGGCGCAGGTGGCCCAGTGCCGGCTCCGGCCGGCAAGCAGGGAGAAGTGGGTCCCCTGGTCGCCACGGCTGGACGCAGCTCGAAGAACATGTGAGTCTCGACCTCCGGAAGGGTCCGGGGACCGATTTTGAGTGAATTTGCCTTCGTCCCCCCCTCGTGGCCGCCTCCAACCTCAGAGAGGTCTGGCGGGCCCCGGAAACGGCAGGGCCGTTCTTTCACCGTTTCCAGGAAAATGCCCCCTGAAAATGGAAACGGCAGCAAAAACGGCGACCGGAAACGGCAAGAAAACGGCTCCAGGATTGGAACCGGAGCCGGAACCGGTCAAAAAACGGCGACGGAACCGGCAAAAAAACGGCGTCGGAACCGGCAAAACAATTGCAAAACGGAACCGGTAAAAAAAACGGCCTTGTCGTTTCCAGGGCCCACTAGGGCCCCACCCCCAAAAGACTCTGGCGGGCACCCAGGGGTCCCTGATGAGGCTCTCTCTGGTCCCCCACGCGGGCCGTCACTTGGGCCTCCCAGACCTCGCGGAGCCCCCACTTGGGCCGCCACTTGGGCCTCCCTGATCTCGCGGAGCGGGCCCAAGATCGCTCACGATAACCTCGACACAGCCCCAAGTGCCACCAAGAGAGCCCCGAGAGGGCTTCAGAGGCCCCCGAGCACGCCCCCGAAAGACCAAAACGTTTCAAACATGTATGGGACATCGAAAATGTTCGCCCTCTCGCGTTCCCGCCTCCGATGAACCTCCAAGGCTTCAGGCCCAGAGTCGTCCCCAAAGGCCCCAAGAAGCCCCAAAGAAGCCCCAAGACGCTCCCAAGAGCCCCCCAGAGGTCCCCATACGGCCTCCCACATGGCTGCCAGAGTCTTCCCAGAGGGCCCCATAAAGCCCGCAAGAGGGCCCAACGCCTTGCAACACACCTCCCCGCAGCCTCCCGTTACCTTTTCAAGCCCCCGCACCCCGCACCTCCGTCCAGCTTCCGAGCCCTCAATGTCCCCCTAGAGGCCACCCACAAGGCCCCCAACATGCGCCAGGGCCTCGACGAAACCCCCAAAGGCTCCCAGAGACGCCTTGCAATTTAGCCTCGACTCCCCTCCTTAAAGACCTCGCCACCTTCCCGACCCCCCTACACCCCACGCCTTACCTTCCCAGCCCCCTGCACCTCACTCCTTCGAGAGGCACCCGAGCCCTCTATGTTCCCCCCAGAGGCCGCCCAAGAGGCTCCCACGAGGCCCCCAACACGCGCCAAAAGGCCCCGACGAAGCCCCTGAGGCTCCAGGAGACTCCTAGCAGCGCTGCCTCGCCTCCCCTTCCGAGAGACCCCCACCAACTTCCCCCCCCCCTGCACCCCGCGCCCCTCGACACGCACGTCGGTGTCCACCCAGACCCCCGACGCCATGATTCTTGTTCGCAGCGCCGACCCCTGGAGGTCTCGACCCATCCCCCAGGACCGCATTTTCGTCCCGAGTTGCTTTTTGCCAGCCTCCAGCGCCGCCCTTGGCGCGCTGCGCGCGCCGGGGAGGGGGACCCATAGCAGATCCGAGAATTTCCGAGCGGATTTTCGAAAGTGCAAGTTTGTGACATCTTTTATCGCTCCATTCGTGCTTGTTTTTTTGTTAAAAAGAACTCCATTCGTGCTTGGGCTTTCCGCCCTGGAGTGCTCTGTGTGTCGGTTACCTCCATGGTGCCTGTGGGCATTCGGCGGAGGGGACTGCGGTCAGGAACGTGGCTTGCCGGCGTAGCGCGTCGCTCCGCCGGTTCTGGCCCACCGCGCTTCGGCGCGGCACGCAAGCCACTTCCCGGTCCCAGAGCGTCCATGTTCCGAGCCTTTTTTAGCCTGGCGCCCCTCGGAGCGGAGCGACAGCAATTGTCGACAGTATGTTCTTTCGCCATGTTTTTGTGACCATGTTTCGGCATTGCACCACCACCAATCATACACCCCCCCTCTGCCTCCGCCCTGCAGCTCTGGTGCAATCACAAGGTCGGTTTTTGGGTCGTTCCCCTTCCCGCCTTCACCTGCCCCTCCCCCCCGCTCCTCCCTTAATTATTTTTCTTCTGCCTCCCTCATCTTTCCACTTACACAATCTGAATCATACTCTCCTCTCTCCCCTGATGGCGTCCGGAAGATGTTCGGCCCCCCTCCGCGTATTCTTTGGGCTCTTTTTCAAAATCTTGCCTCCGCTGAAGCGTTGGCCTCCTCATTTTCGGACTTCCGCTCGTTCCGAATCGTGTTCCCGCTGTAGCGCTGGTTTTATTTCCACGCTTCCGTTCGTACCGAATCGTGCTCCCGCTTCAGCGCTGGCGTCATATTTTCCAGTGCCATGCTATGTGGTATGCAATGCAGTTCCATGTGGTGTGCTGCTGTGCGATGCCATGCCTTCAGCTGCAATGCTAGAATATGCTGTGCTTGACTACGCAGTGCCACGCCATGCTAATTATGCCATTGCACGCTTTGATCTTCAGCACCATGCTATGCAATGTTCTGTCATGTGCCGCTGTGCGATGCCATTATTAACGTTGCAATGCTTTGTGATGCAATCCACGGCATGCTATGACATAGTACTCTCTGCCGTGCTCTTCTACGCTCTGCTGTGCCGTGCTCTGCGATGCATCGCAGACCCTCTCGGGAGCACTGCCCTGCTCGACATCCGACTGTGCGACTAGAGAGAGAAGATCTACGCCATGGTAAGGGATGGGACGGGAGGGAGGGATAGGACGTCAAATATAGCGCGAGCTCTCCTAGCTTGCCACCTCCCCCTCATCATCTTCCTGCTCCTCCTCCTCCTCCTCCTCCTGCCCCTGCTCCTCCTCCTGCACCTCCTCCTCCTCCTCTCCTCTTTCATCATCCTCCTCCTCTCCTCTTTCCTCTTCTTTATTTCTCCTCTTCCGTTCGCTTCCTTGTACTCGTTCCTCCTGCTCCTCCATCCTCCTCCTCCTCCTCCTCCTCCTCCTCTTCCGTCCTCTGTCCTCCTCCTCCTTCTCCTCCTTCCCTCCCTCCCTCCCTCCCTCCCTCTCTCCCTCACTCCATCCCTCCCTCCCTCTGTCCTCGTCCCTCCCTCCGTCCTCCGTCCTCCTCCTCCGCCCGTCCTCCGT